CATATAACCTAAGTTTAAATTTAGTGTAGTGATTGATCCCTTACTTAGTGTTTAATAAAACAGGATTCAAAGGTATTTATGTCTAAATAAAGAAATAAAACTAATTTCATTCCTCTTGTCCTTACGTACAACTGAGAGAGTAAGACCTTTGTGTTGTAAAGGGAAAGAACATTTAAATTGCAGTCTTAAGAGGAATTGCTAAAAGGGTTGTGTTACAGCCTGAGGACTCTACTTGAGGTCACTGCAGTAGAGCGTAGGCTGGAAGGTGAGTCAGTATCAATGGGACGCAGATGTGAAACTCAACAGTGTACAGGCTAAAATTATTTCCATTGATTTTAATGAAGCTCCACTAGGGATGAATTTAAACCATTACAAAGAAGCGTTGATCTGGCATTTTACAGCTAGGATCATGTTTCTTATGCTGAATGCCAATGTTCACTTCTCAAATGTCAGAGTTGTTTAATTACTTTATTTCACCTTTTAATTTTCGAAAGCATTGAAAGTGTTGCCAAGGGGTGTTCGAGTGGAAAGGACAAGTCAGGTCTGTGTTCATTCTGTTTTCTTTTGTTTGTATTGAAGTAATGCCTATGTACACTAGTCATACCTTACCATACCTTAAGCATATATACATAGGGTAAGCATTATACGCTCCATATATCCTGTATCACAAGAGAGTGAGTGGCTTATAGTGGCATGTAGGAGGTGCTTGCAGGCTAGATCTAATGGACAGGATGAGCCTGGGAAGTCTGGAGACCTTAAAATTAAAAATACACATATTTTGATTTTGTTCTTGAATTTTCAAAGGTTTGTTTTGGTGTAGACCTATTTGCTGTAGCTTCCAGGTGGCAGCTAACAAGAGATTTGGGTAGTGGACAGTTTCCAGGTCTGCACAGCTTACTAGTTGGGCATAGGAACAATTTGTTTTTAAGGTGGGTTAAGCACAGAAGTTCAGTCATACTGGTCCAATCAAACTTAATGGTTCAGGATCATCTTTAGATACAATGAGTGCTGAGACAGAAAAAAAAAATGCCAAGATCAGGTATTTTTAAGATCACACAGCTGGCTCCTTTTGGAAGGCTTTTGGTCATTCTGTGCAGTCAGCTGTTAGACCTGTATCTTTGCTTTTCTCTTTTCCAGGCTCTTGTTCTCTTTTTCAGTGGCTGCTCACCGGTAGCAGCATATGTCCCCTTTGCATTCTTCCTACTTGGAAATCTACATCTGTTCAAGATAGAAAGCTTAAAAAAAGAGTATCCTTCAGGCTTAGAAATTAGGGGGTCTGTTAAGCATGTTAGACTTGGGTTCTGGGATTTATAGTTTTGAGTATTTATAAGAATAATTTTAGAGGCACTCAAAAATAATTTGAAAAACATTTCTGTGATCTAGGAGAGGGGCTGTCTTCAGGATAGCCTTCTCCTTTTACCAGAGGCATGGGACTGTAATGCATTTCAGTGGAGTTGATCACTTTCAGTAAGGCAAAACAGCAAGAACCTGAAGTCCATTATGAAGAAATACAATTTTAGTCTACTAGTTCTGCCAAATTTTAGAGATTATAAACAAGTATTTTTTTAATAGGTTGAGGTACACGGAAAGAACAAACCAGCAATCACCAATGTAATCTCCAGCCCCGATATGTTTTTTGATTGAATCTTCAGTACTGGATTTTTTACTAGAAGCAATTTTGTATTTTACTTACTAAAAATATCCAAGGGATTTGATGTGATCTGTGTAGCAGAACAGTATATAAATTTCCTAGAGGCCTGGGGATAGTGTTCTGCTGATGCTGCTGCTAGACAATATGCA